AACTGAGCCATCTCCCCAGCCTGATTTTTAATTTTTTAAGGTAGCATGTAATAGGTCTCATTATGGGATTTTCATACTTGTATGTCATTATACTTTGTTCCTACTTATCTTTTTCCTCCCAGTCCCCTCCCCCATATCCCTTCTTCCTCTCGTTGCTCCCCTCCCCTCCCCTCATTAGTTCTCTTCTGCTTTCATGTCTCATGTATTTCTTTACTGTCTCTTATCTCTCTTATTCTGCCCGTCCTCTCCCATCCATTTCTGGGGTTTGGTTGTTGTTCTTGTTTTGAGACAGGGTCTCACTGTGTGGACCTGGCTACCTGGAACTTACTTTGTAGACCAGCCTGGTCTCGAACTCACAGAGATCCACCTACTTCTGCCTCCCAGTTGCTGGAACTAAAGACAAAGGTGTGTGCTTCCTTCCTCTCCATTTATATTTATATTACTTTTTTCTCTCCGAGCCTCCTTTATACTTTTTATCCTACAAACTCTCTCTCTCTCTCTCTCTCTCTCTCTCTCTCTCTCTCTCTCTCTCAGATTTAAATTTAGATTCCACACAAGAGAGAACATTTGTCTTTATTAAAGAGTCTAATTTATTTAACATAATGCTCCATCCATTTTCCTACAAATGACATAATTTCATTTTTCTTTACAACTGAATAAAATTCCAACATGTACCATGTTTTCTTGCCCATCATCTGTTGATGGACATCTTCGTTGGCTCTATAACTTAGCAATTGTAAACAGTGTAGCAATACATATGAATATTCAGGTATCTCTGTGGTAGAGTGACCTAGAATACTTCAGATATATACCCAGGAGTGATATAGTTGGTCATTTGATAGTTCTATTTTTTTTTTTTAAATATTTTATTTTTCTTTTATGTGTATTAGTGTTTTGCCTGCATGTATGTAAGTGCACCAGGTGCATGCAGTGCCCATGGAGGCCAGAAGATGGCATTGGATCCCCTGCAGCTGGAGTTTCCTGATGGTTGTTAGCTGCTATGTGGGTACCATGAGGGCCTCTGGAAGAACAGCCAGTGTTCTTAACCTCTGAGCTGTCTTATTAGCCCATTTTTAGTTCTTTGAAGAACCTCCACATTGTTTTCCATATTGGCTGCATTGGTTTACATTCCCACCACCTGAGAATAAGGGTTCCTTGCCTCATATCCTAACTGGCATTTGTGGTTATTTGTTTTCTTGATGATAGCCATTCTGATTGGGGTGAATAGACTCTTAATGTAGTTCTAATTTGTATTTTTCTAGTGGCTAAAGATATTAGACTCTTCACTCTTTTATTGGCCATTTGTATTTCTTCTGTATGAACTGTTTAATTTATTTATTAATTAGAAGAGTTAGGGATTTTTTGTTTTTTTTTTCTTCTTGAGACTGGGTCTCTCTGTAGCCCCAGCTGGCCCGGGAACTTACTATGTAGATCAGGCTGGCCTTGAACTCACAGAGATCTGCCTGCCTCTGCCTCTTAAGTGCTTAGGCCTATGTCTGCATGCATGTGCATGTATGTGCATGTAAGAGGTGTAGAAGCCTTTACTTTCATATCATCTTGTTTGTTCTTGGGATTATTTCCCATGCATATGTGTTAAAAGTGTTTTATTTATAAAAATATTTCTTCCAGCAGTTTCAGAGTTTTAGGTGTTACATTAAGATCTTTGATCCATTTTGAATAGATTTTTATGAAGATTGAGTGAGATGGATCTAGTTTCATTCTTTTAATTTTGAATATTGAATTTTCCTACCACCATTTACTGAAGCGTCCATCTTGTCTTGCTTTTTGTTTTCCAATACATGTTTTTGACGTCTTTGTCAAGGATTAGGTGGCTGTGATTGTGCAAATTCTTTTCTAGATCATCCATTCTAGTCCATTATTCTGAGTTGTCTCTCTAGCCCCAAGGTAATTAAAGGTGAGGTAATTTATGTCAAATAATGCCCAAGAAAACATTATTTTGGCAAACCTTGGCTTTTTCTTTCAGTAAGCTGAGTATATGATTATGTACTATTAATTTGATTCTCTTATTAAATTACTTTATTCATTGTGTGTGTGTGTGTGTGCGCGTGTGCGCGCACGCGCGTGCACCCACATGTGCATGTATACGTGCCTTGGCACTACACAGAGCCATCTCACCAGCCCTAACTTGATTCTTTAAGACCTGAAAATTTTAGGAAAGTTGGGAGATTTATGTAAAAGTGTAGGGGAAAATGAGAATAAATTTTTCATAAATAATCTTTTTTACCTCTTCTAAATTGAGGAAGCTAATAAAGTCTCTAAAATAAAATTCTCTTCATTTAGGTTTTGAGACAGATGCGAAAGTTGCCATGGCAGGACCAGGAAGTGAAAGACTATGTTATTTGCTGTATGATAAACATCTGGAATGTGAAATATAATAGTATTCACTGTGTAGCCAACCTCTTAGCAGGACTGGTGCTCTACCAAGAGGATGTTGGGATCCATGTTGTGGATGGAGTTTTAGAAGATATTCGATTGGGAATGGAGGTAACAAAGACTTCTTTGTAGTCACCGAATTAGTTTTTTTTTTGATGTGTATGAATGTTTTGCTTGGAATCTGTAAAAAAGCATGCTGGATCCCTTGGAACTGAAGTTGTGGATGGTTGTTAGCTGTCATGTAGGTGCTAGGACCTGAACCTGGGTCCTCTGCAAGAGTAGCCACTGAGCCATCTCTCTAGTCCTCCCCTCCTCACTGTTTTTTCAGACCCAGCTGACCTGGAACTTGATTCATAGACCAGAGTGGCCTGGATCTCATGAAGATCTGCCTGCCTGCCTTCCTGCCTCTGCCGCCTAAGTGCTGGGATTAAAGGCATGTGTCCCATGCTTGGCTAGAAAAAGTTTATACTTTTGTAAGAATTTTCTATAAGTATTTTTCTCCTACTATAAAATGTAACTACCTACTTGTGTTTCTTAATTCATAGATTACAGAGAAAATATTAGTTGGGCTTATTAGAAAGAATTGCAGTATAACTATTTTAGAAACAATTCATTTAGTTACAGCTTAATATCCAAGTTAGTATCTAAGTTTTGTTTGTTTGTTTGTTTGTTTTGGGGGCTTTGGTTTGGCTTTTGAGACAAAGCTCACTACGTAGCCCTGGTTGACCTGTAACTCAGTGTGTAGACTAGGCTGGCCTCTGCCTTCTTAGTGCTGGGATTAAAGATGTGTACCATCACACTTGGCCTAAGGAGTTCTTTTTATTGAAGCATTTTAAAGTTAACCATTTCCTGGAAAGTGAAAGGACATTCAGAAGTGACCACATTGTTAGAAAAAGAGTAAAGAAAGCATTTCTCTCATATGTTCTTTGAGTAGTTAATATTGTTCAATTAAAATTTATCGTTCCAATTATGTTGCTACTCTTTAGTGAAAAATATGTGGGGTTTTTTTGTTTTGTTTTTCAGGTTAATCAACCTAAATTTAACCAGAGACGTATCAGTAGTGCCAAGTTCTTGGGGGAACTTTACAACTACAGAATGGTGGACTCAGCTGTTATTTTCAGAACTCTTTATTCTTTTACTTCATTTGGTGTCAACCCTGATGGTTCTCCAAGTTCACTGGACCCTCCTGAGCATCTGTTCAGAATTAGACTAGTGTGCACTATTTTGGATACCTGTGGGCAATACTTTGACAGAGGTTCCAGTAAATGAAAACTTGACTGTTTCCTTGTATATATTCAGGTATATAAGCACAATATGCAATTTGGTATCACTTAATGCATATATTATGGAAATTTTAGCAAAGAAATGATGAACTACTTATATATGTTCACAGTTAGGTTATATTTATTACTCATGTAAGGATGCTTTAGAAATTTAAAAATTTATAGTGTCCAGGCATGGTAGTACACTCCTTTAATCCCAGCACTCAGGAGACAGAGGCAGGCGATCTCTGAGATTGAGACCAACCTGGTCTACATAATGAGCTCCAGACCAGCTGGGGCTACAGAGAGACCTATCTCAAAAAGATGCCCCCCCCAAATTTTATGATTCCATCATATATACATTCTAATTTCTTGCAGTTTTGATTGATTATGATAATTCATTTTGAGAATTTTTCTGGTATAGATTATGAATTTGGCATGATAATTTATGGATTATAGTAATTGATATAGTGATTCTTTAAATTAGTTAGATTTTTGGTTTATTTTTTGAAACAGACTCACTATGTAGCCCAAGCTGGCCTTGAATTTACAATCCTCCTGCTTCCCAAGTGCTGGGATCACAGGTGTGTACTCAGTGACTTGTGATTTGATAACATAAAATTCTTATTTCTAAAAGATCTAACTTTATTTACTTACCTGGTTAGAGAAATAACAGGCCCTTTTGCTTTGGGCACATGAGTATTACTCATAATGCAGGAAACTGCATATTCATTTATTAATAACGTCTTGGGTTGTGCTTTTCATGGTTTTTAAATTAATTCCATAAACTTGTGTTTTAATATAATACGGGGTAAATTAAATTCCATATAAACACAAGGATAACCCTACAACTTTTATAGTTTGTATCACACAAGTTAACCTGTAGATTGATTGACAGCACCCCAATCATTATTTCCTATAAAATAAAATGTAATAAGTAGGGATTAGAACAGATAACTTATTATCAAGTACATGCAGTGTTACTGAATAAAATATCAATAATATTTGATTCAGTGCAACCACAATTTTTAGTAATTTACTTGTTGAGAAGAAGGTGGATTTGGTATTCTAACTAACTTGAGACATCAAAAATACATCCACATGGTGGCTGGTATTGGGAGTAAATTCTGTTGGGGAACTTCACTTTGCTAACTTTGTCATGCCCCATGTCTTCAACTTGTTACTATTTTATTTTATAAATTGATGAGCAAGAAATGAGGGGAGGAGTTTGCAGATTTGATGATCAGATTCCCTGTGTGTATAGGGACTGTCTTAAACTGGAGGTTGCCTTTATCAGAAGCCTGAATTTTGTTGCAAACTGGCAGATATAATTATTAGTATCCAAAGTTAAATCATTTTGAGAGGAGAATCCTTTGAATTCTGCTATTCCAGACTGAAAGAGAAGAGCCACTCAGAAATATCTAGGAGCAGAAACCAACAAAGATGTTTTCCAAATTAGTGGACAAAATATGGCAGAGATAACTGATTTGTATTTTGCCTAGAACATAGTAGAGTGTAGGTTCTCCTTATTTGCCACCTAGAACATAAAGTGTGAGTTTAAGTTTTAGAGGGCAGATAGAAAGGATCAGCTGGAAAGTGCTGAACTTTAATGTGCATGTGTATTACCTAGGATAGTGCCAAGATGCATTTTGGTTGTAAAGCTTCCTGATGAGGTCCACACTTTGAATAGCAAGAACCCATAACAAATTGCGAAGAAGAGTAAAGCACCTGGAGGAATACCTGCTTGTGTGCTAGTAATTCTGAGGTTGTGCTGTTACTTAATACACACTTAGGAATTAGAACAAGAACAGAATAGAATATGGGAACCAGGCTAGGAGTAGAAAGGAAAACTATCTGCATATTGCCATATACGTAGTAGCCGTTAAATAAATGTTTGGTGATTACTCATGTTTGTATTTTTCAAAAAGTTGTGTCCTCAGATACTCTAGTAAACCTCTTTTAAAAAATCAAAGCAAGTAGCATAGGGAAAACTCAAAAACTGTGGCATTGAATCCGCTTTTATAAAGTTCAATATATCAGTTCTGTTTGTGATGTGGAAGTGAAGTTTCTGCCTTTGTTTCAGAGTACCTGAAAATGTATTTTGCATTTTGCTTATAGTTTGCCCTTGTCTTTTTTTATACCTAGGACAGTCAGAATAAAAGCATATTTAAAATAAAATCACTAAATGACACAAAAATTGTATAGGCAGAAGAAAATAATTGGAATTAGGATCATTGCTTTTGACCATTATTAAAATTACAGGTTTCTTGTACGATCTTTTAGCTTAGTTATTGTAACTAGGTAACATCACAATACAATTATTTTTAAATATTTTTGTTCTTTCTCATAGCTAAATTTATTTTTCATTTGTTATCAGCGTTATGTTTGGTGGAAGAAAAGTTTGGAGGTTTGGACAAAAGACCATCCATTTCCTATTGATATAGATTACATGATCAGTGATACACTAGAACTGCTAAGACCAAAGATCAAACTCTGTAATTCTCTGGAAGAATCCATCAGGCAGGTACAAGACTTGGAGCGAGAATTCTTCATAAAATTAGGTAAGCAATTAATTACAGAGAGAAAATGAAGGTGGTTTGAGGAGATTGTTTCTAGAATTTGCTTTCTAATGTTACCAAAGTTTTACATTTGCATACTTTCTATTTTTGATGTTGAGAACTGCATAATATTGTTAGAGGAGACCAATGTGACCTAGTTGGTTTCCCTAAGTAATCTCAAATTGGAATAAAACAAGTCAGGCAGTACTTTAAAAAGTGATAGCCAGGCGTGGTAGCACACACCTTTAATCCCAGCACTTGGGAGGCAGAGGCAGGCAGATCTTTGTGAGTTGGAGGCCAGCCTGGTCTACATAGTGAGTTCCAGGACAGCTGAGGCTACAAGGAGACCCTGTCTCAAAAAAAAGACAAAAAAAAAGTGATAGTAATGGGAAAAGGCAGTCCTGTCATCTGCTCTTACTCGTAGAATCTTTGGTTTCTAATTGCATCTTTTGATGAAGATCTCTTCTACATTATAGCATATGACATTCAGGCTTTAGTGTTGCAGGGAGTACCTGTTAGAAATTTGTAACAACACTGTAAATAAGACCTTACTCATTAGCAAAGCTGCCTCCATTTCTAGAGTCTGGAAAAAAAATGTGTCACTAGAACATTATCTATGCAGTGCTCTTTATCCTTGAGGTTTCAGAAGAAGAGATAAGCTTTGAACATCTCCCCTTACAGAATCTAGCAACTTCCTAGCTTTGTCAACAGGTAACAAGTGCAAGAGCTAGTCATACCAGTCTAGCTTGTATGTGCTAATAGCTCTTCATGTTTTCAGACTACTAAGCTATTTCTCATTTGCACTTGGTGCATTCAAGTGTGTCTTTACCTTCAGTTAGTAACTGAATCTATTACATAGCATGCCTGAAGAACCAATTTAAAGTGAAGTCCTAGCTCTTTTTTTTTTTGGTCTTTTTGAGACAGGGTCTACCTGTATACCCAGCTGCCTGGAATTCAGAGAGATCTGTCTGCCTCTGCCTCTGCCTCCCCAAGTGCAGAGGATCCGCCTGCCTCTGCCTCCCAAGTGCTGGGATTAAAGGCGTGCACAAACACGCCTGGCAAAGTGCTGTTTTTAAATTACTGCTACTGATTGTACCAAAATTGACTTCCCACTATTCACCTGTAAAGACTAGAGTGATTCTTGGTTTTTGAGCACTGAACCAAGTTACCCAATTTCTTTTCCTTTTTGGATTTCTAATTAAACAAATGGATCATTTCAAACAAAATATTATCATGTTAAAGATTTCATTTACTTTGTATGTTTTGAAATTGTTAAGTCATAGCCTAGAGCCCAGAAGTTTTCATGAATAATAAACTCTGTATAGGGACATGAGTAAACAGACACATTGTTTTGTCCTTTGTAAATTAAAGTGGCAAAGGACTTTGGGTTTCTTTTGAAGAGCCAAGAGGGGAAAAACAAGTCACTGTTTTTGGATGAAACTGTAAAGGTTGTGGCAGCTACAGCCAGTCACACCCAAGTTGTCTCCATATTCCTCCTGGGTTTAGAGTTTAAATAAGAAGAGATTATGTGTAGAAGATATATTTTAAACAAATTTTCTGTTGATAAATCATAAAATCATGCAGCATTTTGCCGTTGGTAGTTTTTTTTGTTTTCAAGCACCTGTAAGTATATTACTCTCATTTTAGTTTCATAGTATCTAATATAAAGAATAATGGAAAATACTAAAAATCTTTGCTTTAAGGTTTAAAATCATTTAAAATATTATCACAGATAGTGTTCATGACAGTAATTTTGAAAGATACAAAGAAAACAAAAATAAGTATTGCAGTTAGAAAGGTAGTCAGTGTGTTTCTATGATTGTGTGTGCTCCTTTAACGTTTTCTCATGTGTTTTGCAATTATAACTAGATTGGTTCTACTCAACATATTAGAAAACTTTCTCCTGATATTGGATATTCTTTTAAGTCTTTGTTTTTTAGTAGATTGTATTCCTTTGTTTAATTGTGCCATAATTATTTAATCCTGTTGTTTGATTCTTAGGCTTTTCAGTT